TTTTTTTTCTTCCAGAACATCATGCAGAAAAGACACTTTGGGCTAAGTTGGCTACTTAAGATATGGTACCATCACAATATGTACAATGTTAAAAACTCTCAGCACTGTCTGCAGCACATGTAGCAGAGTGCACATGACAGCTGAACAGACGGTGGTGCAGAGTCAAGCCTCACGGTAAACTGCTTACTAGTTTGTAAAATACATTGCCACAAAGGGATTAAAAAATGACTCCAACATCTTCTGTTTCCAACTCAGAAATAGATATTTAAAAAAATATGGGCCAGTATTAATTAAAGATTTTTTACTGGCCCCAAAAGTCCAGTATCCTATTAGTCTGCATTAGGCTGTGTTTCTGTGTAAGCCCTGTGATGGACTGCTGACCTGTCCACAAGTTACCCATGACCTAATAGATGAATGGTTGAACTAGTTGTAAAATACCACTCCAAACTGCAATTACTGTTCTCACTAAAGTATTTCATCCCATTCAGTCAGTGGGACATGACTCACAAGACTGGCCGTTACAGTCCGGTTTCATTTCTCCTCATCAGCAAAAAGAAGGTCTGAGAAGGAACCCATGATTGAATAGCACAGGCATCATTGCTGCCTGATGGAGTCAAGCTCCGTTTGGAAACACTGCCCAAGTCAGTGACTCTGGATGTTTACTGAGATGCAGTAGTCTGGCTCTCTGTGGTCGCGGCGTCACTGGGTCACACCGTCACTGTCTGATTGTCAGTGGTAGTTCTGTGGTCAGTGGATGCTGATGTACTATCAACCTCAATATATCTGTGCCAATCTAAAAGAGAAAAACAAAACACAAACAAATAATGCAATAGTTCAAGTAAGACAAACACACACACCTAAAAACATGTGTGGGTTTGCTCCACTGCAAACCAAGAGAACTGTGTGTCCCAAATTAGGTACAAAGTATGACGTCACATTATTTTTAACACACTTACAGAAACTGGAAGAACACCTGATGACCTACTGTACGCTATCTTTGATGAACACTTGTGAATCATAAAGCCATTCAGTTCCTGGCCCTGACGCAACTCTGGTGAAATCAGTTTGAAACTCTTGTCTTGCTACATAAGGCTTTTGAAAAAAATTCCACTACAGATTTCAACCTGCTACATTTTATTGGCATGAAACATTCCTTCCAGCTGCTGCAGTTTATTTACAATCATATAATGCAGTGTTGTGCTAACGTAAGTGGAGATGAACGTGATACAACAGTGAGATCAAACAGTCACCGATAGCAAGTCCCTCCTGCTTTAGCAGCACATGCTGATTCCTACAGTAATGGGCTGTTTCTCTGTTTTGGTCGGTCACTGGCATACGCTGCAGATAACAGAAAAGTCAAGCTGATGGAGAAGTGATTTAAACTTGCATTCTTTCTAACAGTCAGCAGGGAGCAACTCTTCTGTTGGCAAAAAAGAAGTCAGATTGCATAGAAGTAATACATTATTTCTAATTGATTTGTTACCTTGGTCAATGCTTTTTTAATGAGTTTATGGTCTCAATTGTTAGTGTCAAGTCTCCTTCAATACAGCAAGATGTTTATATTGTCTTTTTAATCAGTCTTTTTAATCAGTCTTCTTAATCAGTTTATCAGTACACCCTTCAAGAGTGACCCAGTCTGTTCTTTTCCATTTTATTGTGTTTTTTACATTGAGTGTTTGCCTGTACTTTTTCTACATTTTTTTTCTTCTCTTCTCTTTATGTAAAAGCACTTTGTGAATTGTCTTCTAAAAAGTGCTATACAAATAAAGTTATTATGACTATAAAGTTATTATTTAGTCAATTATGATCCCATTTAGAGTAAAATAGACAATAAAGCAGAGTATGCTTTAGGGCGGGGCTATGTTGTGATTGACAGGTTTCCTTGAGTTCTCAGTCAGATCCATCTCTTGCTCATTACATTTAGTTTTAAAAAAGCAAGGTGGTGATGGCCAAATTTCAAACTCGGGGCTTCAAAATGGAAGTCCACTAACCAATGGCTACCATGTTGATATGTTGTTTTTTTATACATATATATATATATATATATATATATATGCTACTAGTGTCATGTGACACCTGCCACATGACACTAGTAGGCTGATGGCTGAGAAACGGTCACCACAGAAGTGCTCGTGATATAACATTACAGTATATTAAATATTAATTTATAATTCATATATCTAGAGAAATAGGGCATGCTGACTAAGCTAAACACAATCCTGTTATCTAAAGCTAGCTTTAATATAAGCTTCTGTATCAATGACAATGACATGAAATTACTTTATTCAGATGCTCCAAAAACATGTAACCCAACAACGGAAAAGACACAAGCAAAGTCACACCAACATGTCACTGACAACCTAAATGACAACAACAAAACCAAGCCTGATATAAGCAAAACAAAGATCAATACCAACAGACTTTGCAAATCAGCACTCTCATGGTAACAATGACTAATTGTAAATAAATGTCAAGATCTTTTGCAGTAAATGTTCTGAGTTCTGTTTCAGTCAAACTCTCCCACACAAACAACTTTTGTTATTCATTTGTGAGATTATGATGTTGTGCAAAAGCCCAAGTAGGACAAGTTCAGTTGTTTGGTGTCAGTGTGCCTGCCTAGTTTGGTTCTGGGACCAAAAATAATGAAAACTCATCGTAAAGTTTATGACATGAAATATTGAGAGTGAATATCACCAGACAGAAACCATCAAACTGATATTATGCCTCTTTAAAGCAGAGTAGACTCTTGTTCTTGCAAATAACCGGAGTGAAATTCTTTAATTGTTTTACTCGTCTTAGCTCCTTAATGTGTGTGTTTTGTGATCAGATTCAGCTTTAAAACAAAATATCTGATTCTCTGTATTGTTCCAATAAATTGTCTGAACTTGACTTGGTCATGGAAAGTGTTGCGTTACTGAGCGATAGGTTTTCCTAATTATTCAAGTGCAGCCCTGCTCTGTGGTTTTTACTGGACACTTGAATGCAGTGGCAGTGGCAGGAAATACATCACAGCAGTGTCCACATGACTACTGGTAAAAACCGCAAGTGTGGCTAAAGGGACAGACCCAGTGACAGTATGTTGCCTTGCTAGCATCAGTATAGCCTCGTAGGACTGTGGATTTTGTCCCCCATCGTGAAACCTCTCACCAAAAACATCTCAGAGGTCATTTGAGCTACCAGCTTATCATGACTAACATTAACATTTTATCGACACAAAGTCTGCACAGGGAGGAGGTTAGGGCAGTTGGATGGGGCAACAAAACACTGGTCTTTAACATGGGAGACCGTTGTTCATTTTCCCCTTTACACCAATTGTCAACACTTAATTTTGTCATAATATTCCACAACTAACAAACTATTTATTATTAATGATGAAGGTCTTCTATTTTAAACCAAGCCCTGATATGTCCTAAATTTCTTAATTCTGACATTTGGGCTGAGTGCAGAGTGGCCCCCATGTCCTCTATGAATGGAGCTTTGGGAAATGAATGAGCATCAGAAATTTATGAACAGGGTTAACATGAACCAAGCAGATTTTTTTCTGCTGTGAACTTGTCCTTATTCCATACAACAGACTCCCTGTGAGTGTTCAGAAATTCAGTCTTTTTCCTCAGAATTTCCGTTGCGATTCTGTGTATGGAACTCCTGTCTTTGTCTATTGACCCACCCATGTGGGATACTACTGCTAACAGTGCAGTTCTTACTCTGATCAGTCCCTTGAAACTGCAAACATCTAAGATGTAACATGTAATTGCTGTGCGTCTTTGACTTTTACACAGGATAACTTTAAGAAACTCCGTGTTCAGAAGAAATCCTGCTTTGGCGAATAAGTTGAATCATTGTTGTGTTTTATCAAAGTTTAGAAAGCAAAACTGACTCTTTGTCTTGTTTTACTGAATCGCAGTGTTGCTTTAACTCCACCATGCTCCACCTACTGAGAAACACACACTAACCCCGTGTCCTGAATTGTCCCGCTCTGTTGACGGGCATGCACATTGGCCTTATTGTTTCCAAACGCTTTGTCCTTGCAGTGACTCCAAGCATGTGTTCAGTGGGTGAGTGTCAGAGAGGCAGAGGAAGAAGCATCCAAAGTGCTGATGGAGATGGAGCTCACTTTTATTGTCTATATTTGGCAAACAATATGAAACTTTATGATGTGGTGATGGAAGTATGACAAGTGACGGAAACTACCATATGGCTTAAGTACAATTCCTGAGTCACTTAGCCACAACACTCAATGAGTCAAACTGCTGATTTATGGCTTTTAAAAAAGGCAAAAAGAAGAAGAAGAAGCAGCTAAAATTTAACTCAGCAAAAGGTAGGAGGTTTTATACTACTTTTAGAAAATCTGCTTGATCTATTTGTTCAAATGACTGCTGAAAAAACTGAATGTGTGTCATGAAACATACTGTGTGAGAATGTAAGTTCAGTACTCCCCACAGCACTCTGCAGTATTCTTCTTGCATTCCTTGAAAGAAGAAGGGGCGTGTTCGGGCTGGTTTGAGAGTCTGATGTGAGTTTGTTGTCAATGAGGAAGTGGCTGTGACTGGCCCAGGAGGCCCAGCGAAGGTGTGGCCTTACAAGAACAGCAGCACAGCATGCAGGTAGACAGCATAAAGACTGATTAGAGCACCGATCTGCTCTGTTACAGTGACTGTCTGCACTTGGACAATGACGCGGACACTCCTATTGTGGGTCCTCATCCTAAATGCCTCACTCAAGCCCTCAGGTAAGTCATCGGATACTGCTACCTCCACTCAGCACAGTGGCTAATTAATAACTAAAGCCTAGCTTTATCTGTCCTATTTATACAAAGCACTTTAAATTGCAGACTTCTCTTCGTGAGCATCAGGTCGTGCTTTAAATCACCTTTGTCATGGAGGAAATGATTGTAGATGTTTTTACAAGACTTGGATTCTACAAACATGTAACTTCCTTGAGTTTCATGGTAATGAATTATATCCGTGTTCATTCAGGTGAGCTTAAAGCTGGGCAAAGTGCAGTGACTTGTACAACATTTGATTAGAAGGGAAGCACCGTGACTGTGTTCTGTTATTCTGCCTTGTGTAACATCTTCAATTTGTTATCTTCCAATAATCTTTCATGTGACAAACAAATTTAGAGGGTATTACTTTAAGTGCACTGTTGACACTGTGACACAATGTCAGAGGTGAAGGTTGGATCACAACAAAGTCACCGCCCACTTCAGGTACTACTGCGTACCAGGTAGCTGACTCAGAGGGACTTACTCATATCCTCTTAATCAATTTCTCTGATGGGGAAGTACAGTCAAAAAGTTCCTTTACTTTGGTGGGACAGTGTTCAATAAAAATGACGGTGAAGATGTGTTTGACCAAATATGGAAAGATGGCAGGATCAGAAACTGACCATGTGACGCTGTTTGCGGTTTATTAGATTGACATTCTGATGAAAAGATTGTTAAATCAGGAACTAATGAAATGCACGGGAACTTTGGAACTGTGAAAAATGAAAAGTTCTCATTAACTGGTTTCATCAGATACTGTTGACCCGATGAACTCTATTTCTTAATGTTTTTTGCTCCTGTCACATTGTTACTCACTTGCAGAGTTAACACTGTGATATAAAGTCCTGCAACCTATAGAAAAAACACAACTCTGGCTAGATGGGGAAAAGAAAAAAGGAAAGCCCCCAGTCACGACTATATAAAAATGCTGGCTCTGCATATTACAAGTGTTGAACCATTTCGCTTTTTACAACCTCTACAAACCCTTTTTATACTACTTTGTACATCAGCTAGGAAGATATGTCCCCATGTTGAATGTATCTTCCAACAACTTACTGACAGCTTGCTCTTCTGTGTACCTTTTTTGAATCATGCAACATTTATTTTATTAACAAATTATGTTTTTATTTTTCTCTCGGTTTCTCTTGTCGTCTCCTTTTCTTCTCCTCACCAATATTTCAATGACAGATGTAGAACAAAGCTGTTTTGATGAAATATCACAATTTTAAGCTTAGATTTGATTATGTTTCTGACATACATTATACATTCATGGACTGTTAAAAAAAAAGTTGAAAATCTTTATTCATTTTTTACAGTCTCTGGCTCTGATAACGGGTAACTTTGGTCGTTTTTCAAATGAAACGTGTCTTTCAAACTCAAGAATGAGCACTCAATGGGGCTAACGTAGCATAAAGACAGTTTAGTTTTCTATTACATTTTCCATAGTAATTACAGTGAAGCAAAATGTACAAATAAAATAACTACGCTATGACAACCTCTATTTCTGCATTGCTAATGTACAATCCTCTTTATAATCATGTTGTGTCACTGACAGGCAGGATGTTACATTCAGATTGGCCATATCATTTAAAATCGTGAAGTGAAAGTACAACTTGAGCTACTTATTATTTCTTATCTAAAACAAAAGCAGAGAGAGTAGTATGTTTTTAGCCTTAACACTGTCTGCAGTCCTTCCTTTCTGGCTGCTTAAAACCCCAACAACCTTCACTGACAGCTTAGTGCAGCCTGTCAGCAGCCTGAGGCCCAAAGAAAACCAGAAAGTACCACGTTCTGCAGCAGGGTGACGCCCAGAAGGCAGCTGTTGATAGCAATCATTTTTAGCAATTAAGATTTTTTCTCATCTGGCCTATACTGACTAAGAGAATAAAACCATCAGTGACCACATTGAATTTTATGAGGTAAGGGGACGTTTCCACCTCATTCCCAGTGGAAATGTGTCTGTGATTTGACCAGTCCCACACTTACATGTATAACTTTCCATCTGATAAGGTTATCAAAGGGTCCTACAGAGATACCGAGCTTCAGGCAGGCATTGTGTTGATACTGTATACACTTCATAATAATGTGCCATGGGTTACTAAACACAGACAATAGAAAATCCCATAATTACACTGCAGGTTGGTTGCCAAAGCCAAAGCCAGAAATACCAGAGGGCATGCAAGCAGTTCAACAACGATTCTGCACTGATCTGCCCTTATCTTATCTGTAGTCTGCTGTAGTTATCAATAACTTATTCTGCAGGTTCTTTCTTCTCTTTTAAGAAACTGATGTGGGGTTAATGATTAGGAATTAACCAGATGTCACAATTGTTCTGTCTCTAGTATGAATTCTGCAAAAGCACCCAGGAACTGCTTTGAGTTCAGAGATTTACTCACATTTAATCATCCTCTATTAACCACAGCCAGCGTTTGCTAAGTCTAGACAAGCACCTTTTCAATCCAAACCATGACCAGAGGGCAATTCCAAATAATGTGTCTCTTTTTTTTTATCCACTTGGAAGACTTGTAAATGGGGCTAAATGAATTTAGCTTAGCTTAAAGACTGCAAGCAAAGAGAAGGGTTTAATTTTAAATGATCTCTTTGAGCAGCTATAGTCCTTTAACTATTTGTGACATACACTCAAAACATTACATTCTTTCTTATCCTGCAGTAATTACATGTGTTGTATCTCCACAGAGAGCCACGGTCCTGAGTTTGAAGAGGGGGAAGACTATGAGTTGGTTCGACCAGTCAAACTTCACACAGTGAGAAAAAGACATGCAGAGGTAGTTTTGGGGTTTTTTTTCTTAATTGTAACTGCAGGAAATGTAGAAGGAGAATTATTCACTGATGGCACAATTTCATGTTTTTTTCCACAGCACATCAGACCTCAGACTGTTAATTATGCAATGACCGTGGGAGGAAAACACATTCAAATGCAACTAGAAAAAAATAAGTAAGTTTTTACTTCCCTAAAAGCATGTTTATGTGAACTATCAAGAACCAAAAGATACATACTTATTGGTTTTACAACCAGCTTGCATGGTAATCCGGATGACTTTCTAAAATACTTTTGCAATTGCTTGACCATGAACAGTTGATATTGCCATTCAGAAGAGACTCTGAGTAAAGTGCTGTGATTCTTGATGCCTGAGACAAACAAGGTCATAATATGAAGAAGTCCAGACAATGCTTAAAGCAGTGCTTCACTGCAACTTCCTTGTTTTACATCATGTTTTCACTAGATTTGTGGTCCAGACATTTTTACCACCTCAGAATATGGCACGTAGGTGTGAAAAAAAATGTCAAGCTGTTGTGTTGTCCCATGTCTCAGAAATAAGAGAGGTAGGCACATGACATGTTCAGTTATTTGTATATCTTTTCATCATCAGTGAATTACTCACCAAAGATTACACTGAGACCTACTACCAAGAAGATGGGACTCGAGTCACCACAACACCAAATGACATTGTAAGTGTTTGCATTTGTAGACAAGTTTCAGTTCCACATGGAAGTGATGTGACTCACCTCCAAAGACATGTTGCCTAAAGCATACCATTTGAAAACATTTCTTTGACTGTTATTCAAGAGCAAATGGCTGAAAAATTAACAAATTCAGAAAAAAACGTAGGTTTTTCTCTTTGATAAACCAGTTATCATCTTCACATCCTTTCCAGGATCACTGCTACTATCACGGGAGGATTGTGAATGACAGTGACTCGTCTGTCAGCATCAGCACTTGTGATGGACTCAGGTGAGCCTTCGACCATCCTGTGTTTAACTTTGCTTTCTCTAAAGTGTCGCAAATTATCCAAACAATGGCACTCCCACATTGTAAGTATTGCAAGCATAGCCTCGTGCTGACCTCACAGGTCACATTAAACCTCAAAGAATGAAGCCAGAGAACCTGTTTTTCTGTTTGTATTAAGGATTCAGTTAGTAATGTGGATCTGCTTTAACAGACTTTTTTGACCACCTGAGAGAAGCACAAACAATACAAGCTGTAAACCCAACTTGTGTCTATCATCACTGTCAAGTTAATATAACAAACTCATTGTCAAACTGGAGCCCATTTACACATTTACAGTACACCACAGTGCAATATCATACAAATGTCAAATCATTCAATTCAGTAATGAAAGGTGTGCTGTCTTTTGTTGCACTGAGTTCCTACTGTGAGTTCTGTGTTTTATAGTAAATCTGAACTGTTATTCAGCTTGAGAGTAATGTAATTACAGTAACTTAATACACCTTTGAATCACATTTCATATTTTACTCTACTCTGTTGTGTACTGTCGCTGGTACAGAGCAACATAGGAGTCCACCTGACAAGTCCAAACTCTTCTTGTATCTCCGTTTTGCTTTCCCACACCTCCTGAGGGAAATATCTGTCTCTGTTGGTGCTAAATGCTCTCCTCCCATCAGATAATTGCAAATTTCTTTGTCAGGCGTGTACCATAGTTTGCTGTTTTGCTCAAAACAACTGCCTGCTGTTTGTGGACTTCAGCAAATACCAAAAAATTACAATCACACAAAATCCAGTGCATACTTGCGATGCTAACCTATTGCTATAAGGTCAAAGAACCGTCTGGAAAAGTCTAACTTGCATGATGTTGGTTTAGGGGTTACTTCAGAACGTCTGCCCAGAAGTACCTGATAGAACCGCTGTCAGGTGATGATGAAGGAGATCATGCAGTGACGACATTTAATGAGAAGAACTTCACACCTGCAGTGTGTGGCGTCACCAACACCAGCTGGAACGATGACTTCGAACCTCCAACAAGTCGCAGTCGCTCCAGATCAGGGGTAACAACATTAGTTTCACCATGCTCTGCTTCCTTTAGATTATCAGGCAATCTGAGGTTAAATGCTAACACATCAGTCAGGCTAGTAATGTTATGCTCAATAAAGAAATCTTAAAGACAACATTAACAAAAAAGTTCCCTAATTTGTTTTATTCATTTGTCCTTCAGGGTATTTCTATTGTTCAGCAACAGAAATACATCGAGCTCTACCTTGTTGCTGATAACCGTGAGGTAAGACATGGATCCTTTAAACACCAGGAAGTTGTCTGGTTATTTTTGCACACGTTTTTCTGTGGAAATGACATGACCAGACTTGTCTTTCTAAAGCTGTCAAATGTCAGCTATGTGTGCAAGCAAAAAAATGGAGAAAAACACCCCAAACATTTTTAGACTTTCTGGGTTAAAGTCAGTGTGTCATCATGAATCTTGTGGATCATTTCTAATGAATCCATTGCTCAGACACAGAATGTGACCTTCCTCTAACATGACAACATGTTGTTTCAGTATGTGAAGATGAAGAGAGATCAGACAGCGCTGAAAAAGAGGATATTTGAAGTTGTCAACTTTGTCAACATGGTGAGTCGTTGCTTTTAATATTTTCTGGTAAATTCCACAACACAAATCCCACATAGCCACACCTGGTAAGTAATCTGAGATATATCCAGTCTATAGACCATATCTATCTATGTTTATCTATGTAGTTACACTCAGCCCAGTGTTTTCCCATCTGTATCCAGCAATAGCCCTAAAAGTGTAAAAACTGCCTGACACAGATGTACATGTTGCCATGGTGTCCTCATGGTGTCTTTTTCTTGATCTTCTGCAGGCGTACAAACCTCTGAGAACCTTCATTGCTCTAGTGGGACTAGAGATCTGGTCCAATGGTGACTTGATATCGGTGACACCTCCTGCTGGGGCCAACCTGGATGCTTTCAGAACATGGAGGAACACTGAGCTTGTGAAGAGGAGTAAACACGACAACGCACATCTCATCAGGTCTGAATGTGCTCTTTTAAAAAAACCTAATCAGTCTCCAGTTATGTGATTTAATATTAGATCATGAATTCAAGTTTTGTATAGTGTGCAAAATGCAGGATGCTGCATGGAGAACGATATCTTTTACACTTTTGTTACTTGTATACTGACTCCCACTTTACATTGTGGTTCTTGAGATGAATATTAAGTATCCAACAGTGACCTGTCAGCAAAGACAAGCTGTCATGTTTTGTTTTCACAAACTGAGCCAGTTTGAAACATCAGATCTTAGTATATTACACGTTTCAGGTTTCAACATAATTCTTGTGTAACATATTTGACCAAGCCTGGCTGGGATGTCACAAATCGCTCTTGTATGCTCACATCTCAAAATGCTTTTAAAAAGGAAAAGGAAGCTTTAGCAATGACATTCAAAAGACAGTTTCCAAATTGCTGAAACAGCCTTTAAACAGAAGTCTGCGTCACTCTAAGCATGAAGAAGAGGTGTGTGAACCAAGCTGAATGTTATCAGATTACCAGAGCTGACAAAGTAACAGAAGTTTTACATTGATTTACATGATTAGTTCTTTCATGTGGCTCCATACCTCTGTAATGTTTGTTTATTTGACGTCGACCTGGTCAGCCATCTCATAATCAAATCATGCCTTTGTGAAACTGATAAAGTTATTTACTTTCCAAGTAGGTCAATGGAAGCCACAGAGCTGCTAATGCCTGCATCCATCTGGTCATGTGTCTGATGAATCCAAAGCTGTTTTTTTTTGTTTTTGTTTCATTTAAATCGATGGATGAACATCATAAATATGGTTTTATGGTTTTTATTTAAAGTGTTTCTCATCTTGTCTTTCAGTGGTATTAACTTTGAGGGAGCCACTGTGGGTCTGGCTTACATCGGGACTCTCTGCTCGGGTCACTCTGTTGGTGTCATACAGGTGAGGTGTTCCAGGGAGACAGGACGACTTGTTCTCCGCCATGTTTTGTTGATCATATTCTTGGTCTGATGTAATGTTTAGTAAGGGAGTGTAGAGATTTGTGTGTTGAGCCTTAAACCTTGTTGAAGCGACAGACTTTACATCCAGGCAACTGTATCGACAACTAGTCATGTGATCAGATGAGTTTAACTAAATCTGTGAGTAACATTGTGATTCATATCCTGGACCATGAGACTACCCCAACACATTGATTTATGATCTTTTGGTCAAATTTCCCACCTGAGTACAGACATGCATAGTGCCCTAAAGATGAACTGTACTAATTCTGATTGTCTCCTGACTCCTAATCAGTAAAATATGTCAAAGTCTGCTCATCAGATTAGAACAAGGTTTTGCACAGCTATTCATGTTTCCCAGATGATGTATCCTGTTGAATTAAGTGATCCCATAACTTTTGCGACTGGATGGAGTGACATGATTTTTAGTACAGGCATTTATATGCCCCTCAGGTTGAATTGTAATAAATTTGGAGATTCCTTATGATTTCTTTTAACACCATCATCACACCAAAATTTGTATTTGGCTGATTCTTTGGTTTTTGACTAAGTCCCTGCAAAATTGTTTAAATAAGCCTCAGCAATTCCCATTGAAAATTATATTCTTATTATTGTTGTTGTCAGGCACAGCTGGAGCCAAGATCTTATAAAGTGCAACTACTAAAGCACCCCTGCATCTACAGTCACATAACAATTCATTCTTTAAACTGTGTCGTTATTTGAAGTTCCTCACTATCCCTTACAAGTAGCCAAACTTTGATGCTTTGATATCTATTATTTTCAAGAGAACATAGTGATTTATCCTCCTTTGTAGTGCAGCACACAGCTTTAGTTCAAAAAAATCTCAAAAAACCTCCACATAAAGCTAAACCGACTGAGGAAACACATAATCTTATCATGTTTCTAACACATGGTACTACTGATAATAGCAGTGAAATGCTGATTATCATCTCTAGATTTCCATTCAAGTAACTGGTGCCTTGTTACCTCTTAGGATCACAATGACCGAGCAATTGCAGTGGGAGCGACGCTGGCCCATGAGATGGGCCATAACCTGGGCATGGACCATGATGACTCCAGCACCTGTGCTTGTTCTGGGGATAGCTGCATCATGGCTGCAGCCCTCAGGTAAGAAAAATCATTATAAAGCCTCAGTCATAAGGTGTGTCTATGAAAGTAGGTCAGGCACAGATTCTGTCAGGAAAAGGCTGCTCGGTTTAACAAGTGTGGCATTTTCAGTAACAGAGATGACCCCTCTCTTTTCCAGAAAATCCCTTCCTGTGTTGGGTTGGTAATAATAAAGGAGCGCTGCATTGATTTAGCTTTTTAGCTTTTACAGCCACTCACTTGACAGAAGATTTTGTAAAACATTTTCAAATATGAAACCTCCATAAGTTAAAGATTGACAGCATAAAGTGCAATTGCTGACATTGTTTTTAGTTGGTTGTTTCCTGTGAACAGGTTTATAGACATTTCTTTCATAAGGGAGGGCTATCTTCTGTGTTTCAGGGGATTCTCTCATTGCAATACTACCTGTGACCACTCAGGTAAATGGACAGAAAGGCAGAGTGGCAATGCAGGTGCCACATTCAGCTCTCTTAATGTTTTATTGTTACATGTCAAGACTCAGTGGGAAATTGTTAATCTTAGTACTTACACCTTTGCTTTACCTCTCTCCCGTGACAAAGTCAAACTGCTGTACTTGTACTTAGAGAAAAAGTCCAACAGGATTTCGTTTAAAACTAAATAAAATACAATAGAATGGAGTAGTTTCATTATCATGATGATTTATGATGAAATTGGTCGGTCTTTTAGTGCATAACAAACAAATACATACTGAATAGATTAATTAGTAGGTACTAAGAAAGTTAGAGTGAGTGTTTGACAGAGTTTGACTCTCTTGTAGTTCTGGGGTAGAAGCTGTTTTTTAGTTTGTTTGTCCGTGATTCGATGGACCTGAAGTATCTACCACAGTGCCAGAGCGTTGTGGGTCAAACGGAGTCCAGGATGGGACTGGTCTTTAACAACATTTGCTGCTCTACTGAGGCAGCGAGAGGCATTGCTTCTGATTGGGGTACATCTGGATGTGTTTGTTGAAAGGGACATTGTCAACACATACCTGTACACACTAGAGTGCAGTTGACATGCATTCCTCCAAGTCCTGGTTCTTAAAGATGTCCTCGTTAATTCTTTCAAAGCCGTCCTGCAGCTGCAAGGATGTTTTTTGTTTGTTTGTTTTTTGTTCCAGTTCTTATGGTGGGTTGAGCTTTTCTTCTGAGTGGTGTGTATGCTGGGGTTAAGAGTATGGACAAGTGATCTGACTGGCTTAAGTGGTGTAGATTTGGCGTCTCTCTTGATGTTAGAATAAGCTTTATCCAGTGTTTTCCCCTCTAGTGGAACAACTGATGTGTTGCTCAAACTTAGGGAGAACTGTCTTTAAAGCCCCATGTTTAAAATACATCTACAACATGAGCTGCCTCTGGCTATGTGCCCTGTTGAGAGGTTATGACGCTGTGCAGATGATCCAGAGATATGCTAGCATCGGCATCCAGTGGAATGTCAACAGCTGTGACGATAGCAACAGTAAACTCACGTGAACAGTAAAGGAGCTTGTATTTAACTGTCAGATACTCCAAATCAAGAGAAAAATGGCTGTCTGTCATTTTGGCATTAGTGCACTAATTGTTGTGGACATAAATATACAATCTTCCTCCCTTACTTTTACCAGAGTTCATGTTTCTGTCCCAGCGAAATGTTGCATCTCCAGTTCTCTCCATAGCAATGCTCAAAAAAAAGAAATAAATCTCTGTTATAAGCACAATACAACAGTCCTGCATGAGTTTGTTCATGGAAATTTGTAGTTTTAGTTACTTCATTTTTTGGTGATGGGTCTGGCATTTGTGAGAAAGATGCTTTGTAGTGGCAGTTTGCAGCATCCTTGCTTCTGCTTTCTGTGTGGCCTCTGTCTATAGACACTAGTATAGACCAGTGATCAAAAGGTCATGTAGGAGGGATTCTCACATGAACAATTGTCTTGTTAAAATGTGAAGAATAAATGAAGTAGAAGCAGACTATGCATTATTGTATTTTTAAAAAAAAAGTCAAATTTTAGTTCCAAGAATGTAAATTTTGAATTCTATGTGTTATTTCTTCTCAGTTGGAACGTTCCTCGGACTTTCAGTAGCTGCAGCAGCAGCCACTATGAAAAATACCTGATGAACCGAAGCCCCAGCTGCATGCTGGACAAACCAGACTACAAGAGTATAAGGGCTCCCGCAGTGTGTGGGAACGGTTTTATGGAACAAGGAGAGCAGTGTGACTGTGGCACTGTGGAGGTAAATACACCTTCAAGGACTCATTCACAACTGATATAATTTGAAATTTTTGCACTGATTCCTTTCTTGACTTAAAAAAAAATATTTTTTTTTACCATGGATTGTTGCTCCTTCACTTTCATAAGGACAACATACATAACGTAAATAAATCAAAGCATGAATAGTTCTTTCAGCATAACTAGACAGGAGAGTTTGCATCTAGTAATAGTCAAGGACAGTTCACTTTAAAGTAGAACAACTACTTCAAGAAACATGCAAAACTCAGCATACTTACTCTTCTGAACTGATTATTGATGTAGGATGTAACAGTTTAACAACTTGTAATTTTAACTGAAGAGAGCATTCCAATCAATATCAGGTTCAGACCTGTTGTTGCCTCTGCTGAAATTCAGCACGTCCACAAACAACACACTCAACCTTTGTCGCAACTTTATCTCCACCCATCTCTCAAAACAAGGTGGGCTTTGTGGTGGGTGGAGCAGCACTGGTATGCAGCAGACGAGCATTGTAGGCAAATATGGCTGCCTTCAACTGGATAGCAGCTCTTTTTTATGTATGACAAAATGATTGTGTATGATTTTTATTATGGATGATTTTGGGGGATTTTTATGGTGCAAACACATTCTTTTAAAGGTTTAAAGACAAATAGTTATTTTCAGAAGCATCTGAAACAGTATCTGCTAAGCCTCCACAGCAAACACCTGCTTTTGTATCAGTTTTGCATGTTACAGCTGTTTTGCTTTACAGTCGAAAGAGTGACAGGAACTTAACCTGCATGTATGTGGTATTCACGAAACCACCAGATTTCCACAGTTTCTCCAGGTTCCTATGTTGAAAATGACAACATAAAAATATAAAAAGATGTTAACAGGTGAACAAGGAAACAAAGAAAATATAAAAAATAAACACCAAAATACACAAGTATACTGAGAAGCAGCGAACACCTGCTACCAACTGCCTGCTCTGCTGTACGCTGTCTTTACAGGAGTGCACCAACCCGTGCTGTAACGCCACCACCTGCATGCTGAAGGAAGGTACACAGTGCGCTGACGGCGAGTGCTGTGAAAACTGTCAGGTCAGTAGGAATCAATGGACCTGCTGCCTCCTTCCCTGGATGCTGTGATCCAGTTATTTGCTCAGCTATGGCCCTCTAGTGGCTGTTTGAGATTCTACAGATGTTTGAACTTAGGATGCCTTTTTCTTCCCAATTTTATATCCAGCGTGTGGGGTCTGTTTTAATTATAAGCAACTGTTTTTGTTCCCAGGTTTTTTTTTCTCATTATTTTGTTTGCCTGATTGTATTTGCCCCAGTTTTGAGATGCTTTAACCTGGGTTCAACCATGTGAAACACTGTAAATTTGTTTTTTAAAGTACAACTTTAAAGCATTTTTAAAAGCGAATTAACAAAGTTTATTATTACAATTCTTAGTATTATTATTATTGTTATTATTATTATTAGTAGTAGTAGTAGTAGTAGTGGTGGTATTACTGTTATACACATCTGAACTGTGACAAAAGACACATACAGTTTTTCTGTAAGAGGCCATGAGCCATAAATCTTTAAAAATAAGTTGTATTTTATAAACTTAAATCATCAAAAACTGTATCCAAAATCCATTTGATACTATATAATATGCTATATTATAAAAAATGTGTGAATACTGGCCTTAAAACTGGGTTAAATAAAATGGTAACTAAAAGTGCAGCACCACAACATTAAAAACAAGGCACACTGAGGCTGTTCACGGTGCTTTACATACCAGTGAACTTCCATCCATCCATCCATCCATTCATTATGTAATCTTTGCTTCTCACAGATTTCATCTAGCTCCAGAGAGTGTCGCAGGAAGCAGGACGACTGTGATCTGGCAGAGTATTGTGATGGGAAGAGCGCCACCTGTCCTGAGGACATGTTTGCTGTGAACGGGCTCCCGTGTGATGGAGGTCTGGGTTACTGCTACAATGGTCAGTGTCCACAGAGGCCAAACCAGTGTGTCAAGATGTATGGATCAGGTGAGGGTTCTGTTCTTATGAGTATTTTGGACTACCTGATATCCTGCTGTCTGAAAACACATCTGAAGGCCTGTTTTCTCATGTAATCTCTTGTTGGCATCAGGTGCTATCGAGGCCCGCAGGTCCTGCTATGACCAGAACAAGAGGGGAGTCTACTACGGCTTCTGCAGACGTCCATCAAAGGACCAGTACATCCCCTGTCAGCGAGAGTGAGTCTCAGCAGAACATATAGTATGATGCTTCTCTGTCGTCTCAAGACTGTCACCACCCTCCATTACACATTTCATACGTTCGGGGAATGACCCCCCCTGCTTGTCAGGGTACGTGGATGTTTCTTTAAGATGCACCGGCTTGCCCCACAGGTTACCTATAAAGCTTCTGTGCTGGTGTGAATTCACTGATTGTTTGATCCCCATCCCAGTCAGGGTGCAATAAGACAATCCATACTGCTTTCAAATGATCTGTATGTGTGTGGGTTACAGCATATATCCACTTATCAGTTGTTGGATGTCTGTTTGCAGGTAGGCTCCTTGGATTGCTGTTTCCCTGTTTAGATTTTGTAACATGTATTTCTTTGTGTCCGTGGTTCCTGCCGCTGTGATTCACAATACCTGCTTTCGTAAGCTGACGCCCCTGGCCTGTCTGTTCTGAGAGGGATAGGATCATGTGCTTAGGCTTGTCGAGGTCTGTGGTGAGAGCTATGTGACATACCCGGTCAACATCCACAAGAGCCACCTACCTGTGCAGTTAGGGGTATTTAGTACTTGGTGTAGGCCTCACCAGGTGGATCCTTGTTCAGCACAGCCCAGGGACACTTGCTGTTTGTACTGTCTGACTTCTTGTATTGCGTCAGTCACATTCTAAACTAAAAACACTCTCCATGTGGTGTAGCTACCACATGGGCCCCGTATCAGGGAGTC